GATATATGTAGGCTTACAATTAAGTGCCAGCAGGAATATCGCCTTAGCCTGAACCAACCCATTGTTTTGGGTTCCTGTTTCTTCAGTACATTCCAGTTTTGAGCCTATTACACAACTATTTTTTTCACCTCCTTTGACTGGGTGCAACTTATGGTTGTGCCTCACTAACAGAGAGCAAGAGCTGCAAAAAGATGCAAACCAGTAATGTCAAGAGTGGTGAGAAAGAAAGTTGATAAGAGGCGAGAATCTATTTAAGTCAGTCCCTCTTCCCAGGGAACCCTGGGAATCGTAGTTCTGTGGAGGAGGTAGTGATTTCTTTCAGATAATCTCAGCACCCTTACCAGACTGTGAAACTCACAATTCCATGGCAGATAAACTGGTATACAATCAATAATGTTTATAGATACTTATCCAAAATGAAAAAAATGGTGGGTTTTGCAGGTGGGAAATATACCCAAGACCACTTCTCTGTGACCAAATAGGAAAAGGGGATTATTCTATTCAACTATTTTCTATCGTATCCTTAGGGAAATGAATGAGAGGAGTATTTCGACCTTTGTTGTAACTGTGATGGAACTCACCTTGCTGTAAACAAGAATGGGAAATGTCATGTAAACAAGAAGTTTACATTCCTCACAAACCACACCCACCTGTGTTACACCTGACATCATCGTATGTGACACCAGGTGTGTAGCAGGTAATCTGAGTGGCTACAAAGCAACCATCAGGAGCTCCCAATTGCTCCTTTGCTAGAACTCATGGGCAGTGACAGGAGAACTGGAAAAAAATTCACATTTGGCACCAACGTGCCCCTTTGGTTTCAGATAGTACATGGGTAGACGAGTCTAAAAAGCCAGGGACACAAATTTCTGTGACCCTCTAGCAGGTATGGTGATTCATTTATCAGAAGTAATGCAATTAGTGTTAACTCTGGAAGTGTATACTCAGTTCTGACCAAACGAAGACTCCTACAGCAAAATATACATCAGAAGGCTTAGTTTACTCACAACTAATGTACACCAAGGATTTCTTAAATATTTGCCTTTCTGGTAGTCAGCAGTCATAGGTGGCCCACATCAAATATTTATAATTTGGCACTGGAAAACGATCACATTTTATTCTTGCTCGCTTGATCTTTCTCTTGCAGAAGATCTACATCCATTTAAATGTCCTTCTTGCACTGTGGGGATTGGTCAAACTCATGTTGGTAGCTTCAAGAACACTGTCCAACCACCTCGTCCTCTGTCGTCCCCTTCTCCTTGTGCCCTCCATCTTTCCCAACATCAGGGTCTTTCCCAGGGAGTCTTCTCTTCTCATGAGGTGGCCAAAGTATTGGAGCCTCAGCTTCAGGATCTGTCCTTCCAGTGAGCACTCAGGGCTGATTTCATTCAGAATGGATAGGTTTGATCTACTTGCAGTCCATGGGACTCTCAAGAGTCTCCTCCAGCACCATAATTCAAAAGCATCAATTCTTCAGCAATCAGCCTTCTTTATGGTCCAGCTCTCACTTCCGTACATCACTACTGGGAAAACCATGGCTTTAACTATACAGACCTTTGTCGGCAAGGTGATGTCTCTGCTTTCAGAACTCAGAACTAAAAGACAATGAGCTGTTTTGTACAATACACTAAATTAAATCTTAGCAAACATGTGGGATCTTGAAGAGGAGCTTGCAGCCATTTTTCTCCTTCCCAGGCTGAGACCTAAACCACAAATCTCAGTTCAGACAACACACTGCCAAACCTTGGCTTAGCACAGCACAGCATGGCAGCAAATACTACCAGGTAGTAAAGTGGCTGCAAACTCCTCTTCGGAAGCCTGCAAGGTTTGGCTCAAATTGTTGCGGGAACTGGGCCAATATAAAAGTCAGGACAAAAACCTTGCAAATTTTACTTAAAATATCATTATATACCAATCTTTGCTTCTAAACACAATGATTATAATTGCATTTAGCAGCTAATTTTTGTATACTGTGCAAGGATGCATTTTATTAAAAAGATTTCCAGCATTTTATACCATTTTGCAATTATTTGCCGAGTAATAAATCCAAATTAGTGTTGCTAATTTTTAAGGACTCTGTGCACACCTGATAGCTTTAACCTGCATGCTAAACAAAAATCAGTAGGCAGCTTGATATTAAGTGTCACGGTATTCTAAACTGTGGTACCAATTTTTAAATGGGGAAAAAATCATTTCATTTCAAAAGCAATGGCTACAATACATTCAAAACAAAGTGTGAATGTGGGTGGGTACCATATAAGTGTGGGTTTTTTTAGGATTTTAAACGCATTCAGCTAGACAGAGTGATAATTCTTCTTTCAGACCTTCCTGCCCAATATGCAAAAGTTGGGAGTCAAGCCAGAATGGACAGCAGGATTGGCCAGTGCATGTTTTCTGAGAGTGCATAGAGGCAAACGCCTACACAGAACTCAGCTGGGAGCACAAACTGTTTTCTGTTAATAGTGGGAGTTATAATTATTGTGACTTTAGGAATAATAATTATCAGATGTGAAGTTACTGACATCCTCCACCCACCTTCCTGGTCGGCCTCTCCCCCAGGTTCCATTGCAATGGTTACATTCATAAGATATGAGAGGATACGTACAAATGGATTTTTTCCTGGTTGGAGTAATGATTGGACCAGCTCTTGGCTGTGTTGCATTTCATATATCATTGTAGTCATACACCCCATTAATTTATTTTTCCACAATGCTGTTTTTATCTACCTCGTGATACAGCAGATCAGAACGCTCTTCAGAGGGCATCATTTTTTTAATGACCAACATTTCAACTCTGCCTTTTGTGATTTGGCATCAACAAAGGCTGGGACCTGCTGAAACTTTGCGCTTCCCTGGAATTCCAATTGCCTTTAGATATTTTAGATCATATTGGCTAAACTTTTTTTTAGGGCAAGGGCTGTTTGCCCTTGGACAAGCTGATATAGCTCAGTTGGTAGAACATGAGACTCTTAATCTCAGGGTTGGGGGTTCGAGTCCCACCTTGGACAACATAAATCCAGTCCATTCCAGCTGTTCTACCAAGTATATGTGTTATGTACTGAAGTTCTCACCCTGGGCCAGCAGGGGGATACTATAGATAGTTTTCACTCAGGTCCACAAATGCAAATAAGGGATTGAAAGTGACATTCAGTGATTGGATAGTTACAGAAAGTGGTTACAGTTGCGTTGTACTGGAGCTCTATATAAGCAGGCTGGCTGAACCCTTCAGTTCAGTTCTGTTCTGGCCTGTGAATAAACAAGAGCTGTTTGAAGAATCGCTGTGTCATCTGATATGTTCACCCACAACTTAACAATATGGGTGTTAGTGAGGGTTCTATCATATAGTGGTACCTCAGGTTAAGTACTTAATTCTTTCCGGAGGTCTTTACTTAACCTGAAACTGTTCTTAACCTGAAGCACCACTTTAGCTAATGGGGCCTCCTGCTGCTGCTGCACCGCCGGACCACGATTTCTGTTCTCATCCTGAAGCAAAGTTCTTAACCCGAGGTACTATTTCTGGCTTAGCAGAGTCTGTAACCTGAAGCGTATGTAACCTGAAGCGTATGTAACCTGAGGTACCACTGTACTTTATAGCTCAGGAGCAGGGACCTGAATCTGGCAACACCACCAATTTCTCATCCCCACTCACTCCAATACAGACCTTCTCATATTGAGAAGGGGATTTCTACGCGGGTTTGGCTGAGTATGTTTTGAGGCCTTCCCAGGAAGCCTGTTAATGCAGGAAGGTGAGGATGGATCAGGCAGGGAGAGACGTGTTAGAGGTGGGGCATGTGCAACCCCATAGCCCCTCTGCGCTGCCCCTATGCTTTATTTGAACACATGAATAGGGCTAGTGAGGTATTACTACATGCTCTCCCCTGGCATGGACTAGTAATGGGGGAATGGGGGGAAGTCCGTATAAATTCATTCCAATTCACAGCACACCAATCCGAGAGAAATGCTTTGCATTTACATCCGCACCACAGCGTGATTTTCTCCCTTCTAATTTAATGCATGGGTTTAATTAAACTTGCCTGGCAGAATACCTGCTAATCTTCGCAGTTATCTCATATAGCAATTAATTCAAACAGGAACAGACTTGATCCTACAGTTCTTCAGCGCCTCTGGGCTAATTGCTGCAAGATCCTGCCGATTATTTTGGAACACTTTCCTGTACTCTGCCTTAATTTTTTTAAACATACCTTCCAGCTTTTTTTTTTTAAAAAAAACCCCAACAACTTTTAAAACACTCGTTGAGAATGAGGGGGTTTAAAGTCTCCCACGCTATAGCACTGTATCTGAACGTGCAAGCAACGTAACAAAGTGGTAGCTGAAGAACTTCTCACATTCATTAAAACTATATGTGTCAGCAGGACCTGCCACCAGCAACATTAAATTATGGCTGTGGTAACCATCCCAGTCAGGCTCCCCCCCCCTTCTTTTTGGCCAGGTGCAGAGACTTTATGCATGACACACAAAAGAGCATCTTTGTTTATGTGTCTAAATGAGTCTGGGAAATATATCCCAACATGTTAGTCAGCTTGGGTTTTTTTGGGGGGGGGGACTTTTAAAAGCAGAAGTCCTTAAGGAATACTATCTCTGGATGAGTAAGGTTCACTGTGGGGCATCAGAGGAGATGGCATTTTTTAAATGATGATTCTGCAGTTCATGAACCACTTCAAAGCAAGCTGGGAACAGCCTCTGAAGCCAGTGTGGTGTAGTGGTTAAGAGTGGTGGACTCATAATCTGGTGAACCAGGTTCGCGTCTCCGCTCCTCCACATGCAGCTGCTGGGTGACCTTGGGCTAGTCACACTTCTCTGAAGTCTCTCAGCCCCACTCACCTCACAGAGTGTTTGTTGTGGGGGAGGAAGGGAAAGGAGAATGTTAGCCGCTTTGAGACTCCTTCGGGTAGTGATAAGGCGGGATATCAAATCCAAACTCCTCCTCCTCCTCTGTAGGAACAGGATCTTGGAAAAACCATTTCACTTCATCATGCTTACCCAAACCAAGATGCTAAGCCAGCAATTGATGCCAGAGAATGATTCCAGCAATGCAACATCCAAAGGGAAGAGTCATTTGCCAGTTGCGTTATTCGTTACCTGAGATGCCTGTCAAAAAAATTTGATTTGGTTAGGGGATAAAGTCCTACAACCTGTTTTCAGCGCTGAGGCTCAGATTTGAGCAACAAGGTCATCCAAAGAGACTGGTTCATGTGCAGAGTGCCTTCCTATGCTGTGAGCTGCAAAATCAGATCCAGTTGCACTATGTTTCTTACAGCTCAAAGACTTTCCCCACTGCCAGCATTATGTACCACTCACAAGTTGAGCTCTCAAAGCAAATTCAAATCCTGAAAACTACCAACATTGTTTTATCTAGTTCAGTGGTAGTTCCAAGTAGGGAAACACAGATAGGAGAGAATGTTGATGGAGAGTGATCTTGATGTGCTCAGCTGTATGCACAGGAGGCCTCTGCAGAAGAGATGGGGAATTTTTGGTCCTATAGATGCTGATGCAACTCCCAACTCCCATTGGCTGTAGCCAGCAAGACCACCAATCAGATATTTTAAATTTATTGAGTAACAATAAACACTGCTTGATGCTTAAAAAAAAACCAACTCAAAACAGTTAACAAAAAGAGCTTTTTAAATGATTTTTTTAAAGGAAATCACAGTTGTTGAGCTTTCCTTGGAAAACCACAGGGGTAAAAATACCCCATATATTCAGCTGAGAGGGGGGCAGAACCTCAGATAATTGAGTATTTTTTAATGTGGATCTTCCCCCCTGCTCCCCCCCTTGGCTACGCCCATGCTGGGTAGGCTTGTTTAAACAAAAATGTTTTTAGCAGGTACTGAAAGTGATCTCATGGGTTAACTGGTCCCAAGTTGTTAAAGGTTTTATACACTAATATATACCTTGATCTTGGCCTAGTAGCAGATGGGCAATCAGTGCAGATATCTGAACACAGGTATTATAACGCTATCAAGGGACTCAGCTACATTGGCAAAGAAAGAATGCTTTATATGCGTTGTTTATGCATTCTTACACTGTGACACCGGATGGCGCTGTGGAGTTCCGTTCTGCCAACCCGATTTCTCATACAAAATTAGCAACACATGTAACTGAACTGCTTCTTTGATGTGCCCTAGATCCAGCCAAGGTCTGACTTTTGTTAGCAATTGTGCTACACCATCCAGCAGCGTCTGCATCAAGCGCTAGCAAAGCCCCCCAAAAAAGCACATTGCATGTACCCCATTGCAGCTTTAAAGACATACTACTGAATGCACACAAGCCAGGGGCATAGCTAAGTGGATACCCTTTCCGATGCACTTGTATTGGGACTGGTTAGAATGGAAGGAAAAGAGCTCAGCAGTTGATGGTTCCAGAGTTGACAGCAGGTATGGCCAAGGGGGTCAATTAATTTTAGGTTTGTCCCCATCCTCCTCTTTGCTGAATTCTACAAGATTGAGGAAGAGGAAGCCAAGAGGCAGGATCACTCCCTGGGCTGATTGCAAGTAGGCAGGCAAGGCGGGTGAGGGCAGACTGAGGTTGGGGCAGTGCCCATAAGTCCTAATTAGCCTGCCTCCACTTCTTACATTATCTACATTCTGAGAGTGAGGCAAGGCATGTGCCTGTATGCAAATGCAGATTTAGGGTAGAGCGACCAGTTCCGCCGCCCTGGGCGCCGGGCCTAGAAACCACCGCAGGGCATCGCAACTATGACCTAGTAAATTGAGCAGAACAGAAGGAGGGAAGGGCGCCAAATTTTGCCTTCGTACATGGCACCACTGACATCTGAAAGGCCAACGTCCGTCCCTGGCAATTATATACCCTTACTGTACTTCCTTATTACACAAAAGGGACCACTACAAGGGACATGGGTGGAGCTGTGGTCCAAACCACTGAGCCTCTTGGGCTTGCCGATCGGAAGGTCGGCGGTTCGAACCCGCGCGATGGTGGCAAGCTCCCATTGCTCTGTCCCAGCTGCTGCCAACCTAGCAGTTCAAAAGCATACCAGTGCAAGTAGATAAATAGGTACTACTGTGGTGGGAAGTTAAACGGCGTTTCTGTGCACTCTGGCACTCATCACGGTGCCCCGTTGCGCCAGAAGTGGAAAGCTGTCTGCGGTCAAACACCATCTCCCTTGGCCTGAAGTGAGATGAGTGTTGCACCCCATAGTCGCCTTTGACTGGACTTAACCATCCAGGGGTCATTTACCTTTCCCTACACACACTTTTCTCTCAACATTACAGTGTCTTCTGTTCATTTGCAGCTGCACAATGATGAAAAAAGAGAGGGGGAAGAAGCAAGTGTGTGGCTTCAGTTGCCAATTGGACCTGCTTCTGGTGGACAAGTGGTACTGTAGTTTGGAAGCTGGATCTGGGAAAGTGGGTTTGGGGGCGGAAACAGACCCATTGAAATCATAAACTGTGCAAAGTCAATAGAAACATTCAGCAAGGCTATGTGGGACGTCCCCGCAAAGGAACACCATGTGTGGGGAATGGAGTCCTGAACAGCAGCAATTTGTGCTGCAACCTTTCGTTGCAGGTCTTGTTTGCAAATAAAGGATGCAGATGGGACCCGCAACCAAAGGTTTCAATGCACCTCTATTCCCCTAATACAGATGCTCCTGTTCAGGTTTCCAGCCAGATATTCCTTCCTGCAAGCTTACAAACTTATCTACTTCCACTTACCATTCCTGATGGTGAGGAGCAGAGTGTTTTCAACCCAATAGGTGCTGGGCCACCTAAGTTTGCCTACTGCCTTATCCATGACAACTAATAATATAACAGAGTACCCAAAAAAGCTAAATGTGAGCAGGGCTGACCAGTGCAGCCTTTGTCGACCACGTGCCTTCCAGACCTTTTGGACTACAACTCCCATCAGCCCCTGCAGTCCGAAACATCTGGAGAGCAGGAGGTTGGCAAGGCCTGTGCACAGCCTCCATTCTTTGGATAGCTTTATGTCTTGGCTACCTCACAGCTTGATAACTTTTGCTGGCTCTGGCCAAAGCAAATATTTCCATCCCTGCTCCAAGACTTGAAAAGCAAATATTTAGCCAGAATGAAGCGCGGCCTGCTCTTTGCCTCTCTCAGTCTCTCTCTTCCCGTGTATGGACGGGAGCTGAAGTTCCCAACTACTGTACACTCCCCAGCGCAACCCCTCCGCCGCCTTGGGGAAGGGAGAGCCCGCCTCCCTGCAAACAAGGGATTGGCAGGTTCCCTCCCTTCGGCCCCGGGCGGCCTCGCCTGGATTAGCCGAGCGGGGAAGGCAGTCACCCGGAGGCGCCGCGGGAGCCTCTCCCGGAGGTGTGCGCGCCGCGCGCCTCGCACCTGCGCGCCGCCCGGTCGCGGCAACCTGTTTCGCTTCGCCCCGTCCGAAGGCAGGAAGGGCGCCGCTGCCGGCGCGGGAGCCTCACCTGGCCGGCGAGGCGGGGGCTTGCCAGGTGTTTGGTGTGGGGGGCGATGCTGTGGGCGCATTGCAGGCGGCTCAGGGTCATTGGCCCCGGCTGACCTCCGCAGAGCCGGATCCACGATGAACAGGGATCCTCGCCGGGTAGATCTCAGCTTCTTGAACGAGGAAGAAGCCAAGCAGATCTTCCGCGTGCTGGAGCGGGACTCGCAGCTCAAGAGGGCCGAGAAGGAGAGGATCAGGTACTGCCAGGTCCCTTTAATGCTGCACCTCTGGGTGGGGGGGGCACCTAAGTTCTGGGAACCAGCTAAACCCGCGGGGTGATGGAGTCCCTTTTAGGAGGACACGTGGAGATGTTGTCTAGACCTTGTAAAATGGGTGCTAATGACTCTTTCAATCTTCCCTTGATCCCAAGCTAGTTGATCTAACTTTTTATTGTGCACCCTGGAGCTATGGTGTTTTCCTCTGTTGCTGCTGCTGCTGCTTTACGACCCAATCCTGCATGCATTTATTGGGGCTTTTAGTAGGAGGTGATTTTCATGTCGGCAATAAATTTCTCTCACAAGAGTGGTGCCAAGCTAGACTGTGGACTTCTTGACCTTGAAACGCTACGCCTGAGTTTTAAAATTGTCTGGCGAGCTGGAAGTATACTTGTTGAATGTTTTGGGGAGGCAGGCGGCAGTTTGCACATGCTCCAAGAAAACACTGTTTTTTATTTTGAATTATTACGGTCTCTAGGTTCAGAGCTAGGCCCCAGAATTCAAAGGAAGCCACAAGGCTGACCCCAGAGAAATCTTGGTTCACATTGTATTACTTATATTTCAAGTTTATAAACCGCTTTACAGCCAAAAGCTATCAAAACAGTGTGTTGTAATATAAAATGAGAGAAATTGCAAAAGATACAGACTTTAAAAACAATTTAAAAATACACTTCGGGGGTAAACTTTCTTAAACAATAAAGAGTCTGGTGGGGTGTTATGATGTGACATTAAAAAAGAAAGAGCTGAATATTTTTCTTCTTCTGTAAGCTGGATAAAACAGGGCATTTAATAGAATGAACTTTGGATATTTAGGCTGCTATCATGCACCTGCTTACCTGGAAGGAATTCCCATTGAACTTGATGAGGCTTACTTCTGAGTAGACATGTATAGGATTGCACCTTTGGGCTTCTTTCCAGGTAAACTTGCGTAGGATTGCACAAATAAATGTTCCTTTACTGTTGTCTGTAGGCTCTACCATATTTACAGCATCCACACACTGCAAGAAGTTCTTGCCATTCCTGTTAAAAAAAGCCTTACGCTTGGCTCCCATGTGATGACATGGGTTTTGATGCTTGCTTCAGCGCTTTCAGCCCATAATGAGCCAGCTGTGCACATAGGCTGGCATGCAGAGGCTTTGGTGTTGGCATGCCACCACAGATCAACCTCATCGTCAATGCCAAAACCAAATCTTGTGCATGCAGGTGAATATGTAAGCCTGCCTTAACGCAGCTTGTGGCAGATGGAAGTCAGCAAAGACTTTCCATGCAACTTCATGTGCTGAATCCATTAGGAGAATCGACCTACACAGTGCAATCCTGTACTTTTCTACTCAGAAGTGAGTTTCATGGGGTACAGGATTGCAGCTAGCGTGCACAACTTAAGGCCAGAGCTTTCCTGGTCATTCTTCCTTGAGAGCAAGCCCCACCGAAATAAACCTCGCTGGGTGCCAAAGTAAACAAGCATAAGGCCTGGTTCTTAGACCTTTCACCTACACAGGAAGTTAAGATGTGTGTGAGCCTCTCTGTTTCTCATCATATAGATATATATTTGGCAGTGTTAGAAACTCAGATACATAAGCTAGGCGCCAAATGGCTCCTTACAGCAGGGTTACAGTCGCCAAAATGGAGTGCCTAGTTGCCATTTTGGGGCCAGACAGCTCAGAAGTCGTATTTTTCAATACAGCTTTTTGGCTCCTGGAATTCATTCTGATTGTGCAGATAAAATATAACGGACAGACTTCTACAGGATGTGTTGCTAGTGTGTGGAAAGAGTCAAGATCCAAGGATTCCCCAGGCGTGGACCTCCAGATGGTGGAGACTTAAGGAGCCATCATGGCGCTGGGGCTTCTTCGCTTGGTTGCGAGTGGACAATAGCCAGGTGCAAAATGTGTTTGGTGCCCAGAGAATTCCAAACTCTGATTTGGCGTATTGGACACTGTTAACGTGGGGCTGACTGTAGCAGAGAAATCAAACGTTCAGTGTAGGTTTGGAGATTCGAGCCTCAATCCAAGGCTCTGCTGCCTCCTCGTCTGTGTTTGTGTAGAGAGGGAAAGGTGTCTTTTCCATGCGATTTTTGTACAGTAGGTTAGTGTCTGCATCTAACAAAGCAGGAAGGGACAAGGTAGCTATTTCCTGGGTTTGGTTGCTATTTAAAGTCTTCTCCCAAGCGGCTTGTTTCCCTCTCTCACTCTCTGAGGGACTTTGCCCTGTAGCTTGGGCAGAGCAAAGAGTACAGAGCTGTTTCAGATGGTCACTACAGTATTAGTGGTGTGTTGCTGAATTTGGCGTCTCTGCCTTCGGGACAGAAGTTCCCGGATTTTTCACCTGCATGTGTTTTTCTCCCTCTCTGTCATTCCAGGACATGGTGTCATCAAGTGAAATTGACCGATGGGAGGGCTCAGGACAAAGTACTTTTTGACAGTGCACATGGTTAAACTGTGACGTTCACTACTACAGGACGTAGCAACCGGCAACTTAAGTTGTCTATAAAATGGGCTTAATTAGATTTGTGGGCAATATATCACCCCAATCCGGTTTGAAGTCCCTGTTGTCATACTGGTTTCATAATTTTTGACCTGGCATCATCATCATCATCATCATCATCATTATTTATATACTGCCCTATACCCTGGGGTCTCAGGGCAGTTCACAGAATAAAATACCTAATAAAATTAAAAACAACAACCCAATACAACGCGCGTGCCCCCCCCCCCACAAAAAAAACACATTTTCAAAGGGCATAGAATGTAAATGAGATCAACCAAAGGCCTGGTTAAAAAGGAACGTTTTTGCCTGGTCCCTAAAGGTGTATAATGAAGGTGCCAGGCGAACGTCCCTGGGGAGAGCATTCCACAAATGGGGAGCCACTGCAGAAAAGGCCCGTTATATCGCGAATCATGATGTGTGTGTGTGCACGTACACAAGCTGTGCAAAAAGCATTATGTGGGGGGGGGGAATGAAGCCAGCCAATGTCTCTACATAGCTCCATCCTTATTTCAGACATTGTGATATATCGATATATTGCAATGTTTAGCTGGTGATATATCACAGTGTTGAAAATCAGATATGGTCCAGCCCTAATTCCCACCAGGATCAGAGGCAGTATACCACAGGAGATCACTGTGGCCTGTGGGAAAGTTTCTCTCACAAGTTGCAAAGATCTAAGGAGCCCATTCCATGGTAATTCGCAGCAGGGCTTCTGTGGCTGCCCCTGATCTGTCTGTTAAGATATGATAGACACCCACTATCTGCAATTTCTGGAAACATCATAGGTTGGTTTCCGAGTACACCCTCGTGTCTTCTGAACCCAGAACTCTATTTGAGTGATGGGACTTTGGCGAAGAGGCAGAGCTGTAGTTTAGGGTTCTTTGACTGATAAATCTGGAACCGTCACCTGAGGCACACAATTTGTCCTGGCTCCAATGACACAGGTAGACATTAGATATCTTGATCAGTTCTTCATGTTGGCTCACTCCAAATTGCATATTGGACAGGAATGGCAGTATCCCTGTGATGCTCTGGTTAAAAGGTAAAGATAAAGGGACCCTTGACCATTAGGTCCAGTCGCAGACGACTCTGGGGTTGCAGCACTCATCTCACTCTATAGGCTGAGGGAGCCGGCATACAGCTTCCGGGTCATTTGGCCAGCATGACTAATCCGCTTCTGGCGAACCAGAGCAGTGCATGGAAACGCTGTTTACCTTCCCACCAGAGCGGTACCTATTTATCTACTTGCACTTCGTGCTTTCAAACTCAGTTGGCAGGAACAGGAACCGAGCAACGGGAGCTCACCCCATTGCGGGGATTCAAACTGCTGACCTTCTGATCGGCAAGCCCTAGGCTCTGTGGTTTAACCCGCAGCACCACCCACGTCCCTGATGATGCTCCGGTTAACCTTCCTCTAAAACATTCCCACTCTGTTTCAGAGTTAATGTCTTGGATATCCAAGGTGTGAGATATGACACTCCACAATGTCCATTTACCTGTATTTGGAAATTTTTTATGTGTGATGTTTTACAATTTTTAAATATATGCTGTAAGCCGCTCAGAGTTGCTGGGGAAACCCGGACAGATGGGTGTGATATATAAATAATAAAATGATTATGATAATGGCAAGTATTTTGCTAGTAAAATAATTACTTAGCATATAT